ATGTGCCCTTGATTTAAAAACACCCAATGTAGTACAACATCTAATATCAGAAGGCAGGTTATTCCAGAGACGGGGTGCAGCAACTGTCAGCAGAACAGTGTGTTATAGGTCAAACATTTGATTGACATAGCCTACTGTTAGTTTCACAGCTCATTTTGAAATGTTTTAATAACTACAGATGTGGCAGTAAAATTCAGCAAAGTAATACACATGACATCTGAAAAGAAAAAGGTCAAAAGTGGCTTGTACTTTACTTAACATCATTTCCACCAGACAGTAATATTGAAACTTAAACCTTGCTGTGAGGTGAGATACAGGACGAAACCAAAGCATAAAATATTTGCTTTGACAAGCCTTTTTCAAGAAACACAAAAGCTGACACTAAAGAACAATAAAGATAAGAGTCATCTGAAGGCAACTCTGATGAAATTTGCCCTAGTGTCACCGAACAGGCAGACGCCAAGCATTCATCCACAACATCCTTCCATTGTTCCAGTATTTGTCCTTCCAAAAAAATATAACTAAATGTCTCATCTGAGCTATCATAACCTGCATTTCTTGACTACACAGCTAAATTTAAAAGATGCTCGCTGATATCTTCCAAATTAGATGGTAGATATGCTGTTTAGTCCATGCATGTGACATTCCCAAAGGCATATTCCATTTTCAAAGGCACATTCCGGGAAAATATCAAGGATACGTTTATCCAAATCATTTTGAAATGTAATAATACATAACATTTACATTCCCTTCCCCTTGAGGCAGCTTCATTCATGAAAGGGTTAGATAGTAGATCTAACCTCACAGTCAGTCTACTGGCTTTCGTTCAAGGTCAGATATCTCATCATCAGTTTATTGTTGGTCATATCCTCAGTTCAAGTATTTTTGAATAAAGACAGTAACTCTTCAATAGTTGTAAGGCTGTACACACTACCTGTTATATACTTGTGTATTTCTTTATTTAAAACGTTCTTGAAAATGAGCCAAAAGTTCAGTCAAAAATGTGCCTTTTGTTAGCAAACTGATAACTTCAGTGCCCAAGATCAGTTGTCCTTAGATCAAGCACACATGCAAGACATATGATCAGCTCATCGCATGCTCAGAAGTGCTTAACACAGCATTCTGTGTCCTTCTCATTTGCAAAACTGGAATTAAATACTGCTATAATTTTTTTTTTTAAACAATGATATTATATTAATATATAATACTTTTCATGGTAAATGGTAAATGGACTGCATTTAAATAGCACTTTTGCAGACCCAATGGCCACCAAAGCGCTTTACAGTTTGCCTCACATTCACCCATTCACTCACTCATTCATACACAGACGGCGGTGTCAGCCATACAAGGCGCCATCCAGCTCGTCGGGAGCAGCTGGGGTTAGGTGTCTTGCTCATGGACACCTCGACACTTGGCCAGGTGGAACCGGGGATTGAACCACCAATCTTCTGGTTTGTAGACAACCTACATGAACCACTGAGCCACTGCCGCAAAAAAGTTTCAAAAAAACTTCAAAAGTTTGGTATAAAAAATGTATACTTTTATTCAGCAAGGATGCATTAAATTTATCAAAAGTGACAGTCAAGTTTATATTTGTTTTTTTGCTGTTGCATTGTTTGCTTAAAAAAAAAGAAGAAACAAGTCAAGACGTGACAGTCAAGACTGGAGTAATGGCAGCTGAAAACTCAGCTTTGCCACCACAAGCATAAATTAAATTTTAAAATATATTGATATAGAAAAAAATTACAGTTACACTATTACAGTTATTTCATTTTATTCAGATAATATTTCACATTATTTGATCTAATAAGCTTTGGTGAGTAAGTCTCCAGCCTCCTACTTCCTCCTCTTCTGCATATTCCATCCATTCCATCTTCTTTCAAAAATATTATAGTTTAGTTTTGTTTAATAAAGACTCTATTGTGATGAGCAAGGCAGGGGCCGAGTGCCGTGGGATTGGAGCAAGGCTGGTCACACCAGTCTTGAGTCCCATGGAGGAGCTCGGGAAGGATAAAAGGATGAGTGATTACAGTGAAGGACAAGAGAGGACCAGGCCTGGGACTTTATGTTGTTGTTTTGTGTTCATTTATGCGGCAGTCATCTGTGAGGGGTTTTTAATTTGTTATTTTTTCTTTCACCTCCTCCTCCTCACCCAATTTGACTGTACCCTTGAGGATCATACCAGTGAGTTCTTGGACCAAGCCTACTAAACACACTAACCCGACAGCACACCCGTTTCTTTTTTTTTTGTGGGGGGGGGGGGGGGATGGGTGGCTTAAATAATCGTGTTAAACAACTAGTCCCCCTGTCTCCTTATGGTCCTCAAGGAAAGTTTAAAGAATTTGTGGAACTGGTTCTTGCAAATAGTGGCTCCTTGTCCAGTGGGTGAGGTCGAGGAGAAATTTACCAGTCACTCGACCACCCTGTACATCCTGTCCCTGGACCCAAGGCCCATCCATCCTCATACCGCGCACTCCACGGAATATGAGCCAGAGCTCACCGCAGACCCAGATCCTGACCCCAAGCATGTGCCAGGCGCGATATTTGTCCCGAAGCCATTTGCTGAGTGAACAGGTATGAAATATGGCTCCAAATTCCGGAGTGCCAGTGGAGATCAATGGCATGTAGTGGAGCAGGGTATGGGAATAGATGATGACATTGACTATGTGAGTTCTGAATGCCTCCAGTCTCCACTGGTCCCATCCAGATCCTTGTCTCTGTCACCACTGGTTCAGTCTAGGCTCGTCATCCATAACTCCATCAAGGTCAGCTAAGAACCTTGGGGTTGTAATTGATGATCAGTTGAAATTTACAGACCACATTGCTAGAACTGCCCGGTCCTGCAGATTTGCCTTGCACAACATTAGGAGGATCAGGCCCTTCCTTACAGAGCATGCCACACAACTCCTTGTCCAAGCACTTGTTTTATCCAGACTGGACTATTGTAATGCTCTCCTGGCTGGTCTTCCAGCTTGCTCTGTCAAACCTCTACAATTGATCCAGAATGCTGCAGCCAGAGTAGTCTTCAATGAGCCGAAGAGAGCACACGTTACTCCTCTACTCACACAATTGCACTGGTTGCCAGTTGCCGCTCGCATTAAATTCAAGGCACTGACGTTTGCCTACAGAACAACCACTGGCACTGCTCCCTCTTACCTAAACTCATTACTTCAGACTTATGTGCCATCCAGAAACCTGCGCTCTGCTAGCGAATGTCGTCTTGTGGTACCATCTCAAAGAGGCACAAAATCTCTTTCTCGGACCTTTACCATGGCTGTTCCCTGTTGGTGGAATGATCTGCCTAACTCAACCAGAGCTTCTGAGTCAGTAGCCACTTTCAAGAAACTGCTGAAGACATATCTTTTTCGGCAGCACTTGATTCAGTAGAATTAACACTTTCTCTTCTCTTCTCTTCTATTCTAAAAAAAAAACAAAAACAAAAAAAAAACACTGCACTAAAATTAAACTGAGAGGGGTTATAGCACTTACGTATTGTTGTCCTTCTGTTAGTTTAACTGCTTCTATTGTTCTCATTTGTAAGTCGCTTTGGATAAAAGCGTCTGCTAAATGAATAAATGTAAATGTAAATGTAGATCCCAAGCTCCTTCGTTGCCGTTGGATTCGCCCAGCTCCCAAGCTCCTTCATTCCCACAGGTCCCGTCCAGCTTCCTACTTCCTCCTCTTCTGCATATTCCATTCAGGTTCTCAGCCCACCTACACTAGCTCCTTTTCAGCTCCTTTGGTGGCTCCGCCCAGCTACTCGGATCCACCTTTGGTCTGTCTTAAACTTCGCCTTGGTGTAAGGATCCCCTAGGTCCATCCCAGGCCTAAGAGCTCTAGACTCCACGTCCCAGACTCCACCTCGGCCTGTTGACCCATCCTTTCCTCTTTGGATCCACTCTTCCTTGGCTCTACCACAGTTTGTCATTCCTCAGGCTCCGCCGGGCTCCCGCATCCCTCCTTCTCCGCCTTGGTTAGTCATCACTCTTCCATCAGACTTCTGGGCCTCCAGCTACGCCTCGTCCCTTCACCCCTTCAGCTCCATTGGGCTCCCTCCGGCTTAACCATTGTCCTCGCTCCCACCATCTCGGACTGCTAAGCCCTGGATCGATTTTGCTAGTCTGCTTCTATGGTTACTTATTGATTTTTTTATTATGTGCACCTGTTCCTCATCTAGTTTCCTCTGTTTGTATATATATATATATATTTATATATGTTTCAGTTACTCTTTGTTGATTCTCATTTGCATTATGTGTGGTTTGTGTTGCTCTTATTGTTCTCCAAGTGATCTCCTGAATGTTTAGTTTTGTTTAATAAATACTTTATATTTTGGAAAAGTCCTTTTGTCTTCATCGTGTGTGTTGGCAACGACAGCATGACAGAACATAAATTCTTAAATCATACTTGCAGTCAATATTAAACATCACTAATTCATAAAACAGTTTTTCTTTCATGTCTCATGGGGCCCTGGAAATACCAGAATTTGTGATTGACACCTTGTTCTTTAATCTTGTCCAAGCCTGTGGTGAACATCGTCTTTCCCCCTCTCTTGAGAGCAATGACTTTTGCTCTGACAGTTAACATGTTAAGATGTCTCTCAGCATGCTTCAGAAGGTACAAATCTATCCCAGAAACATGGAGAACATCTGAGCATCAGCATACCTAAAGAAGAAAAGAAATAAAAAAAAGGTGTGAAAACAGACCACAAACAGGTAGATGGGTGAGTCACAGCGGGGTTTATGGGAAGGATAGAGAAAGATCCTGAGGCTGAAATAAAAAAATGGCTTGTGTCATGTTTAATACATGGGCATGCCAAGTAGTATATAAATTTAAAAAGACACGTGAGCAGGAAACCTTGCTTTCATAAAGCCATTATGAAATATGAGAACACAAGAAAAAGAGAGGACGAGAGAGGTGTGGGCATGAAAAGGCGGAGAAGAAGTTAATGAAAAAGACAAGGAGGGGGTGAAGCGAAGGGAAAGAGAGAGTTCCTGTGAGAAAATTCACTAGACACAAGTTGTTTAATCATTGTGCCCTGCTTAACAAGAATGTGCATTAAATTCAATGTCTGGGTCAGAGTGCTTTAATTTATATGGTGGATCGATTCCTTTATGAGCTTTTCTGTCATTCTGCTTCAACTCTTCACAGCAAAAAATCACCTGGATCTGCTCAAATGCATCTAATTGAGGATTGTAATCTTCTCCTGCTGGATCCATGAGCCAGATGAACAACCCTACACCCCTTCACTTCTACACAACTAAGGTAGGCTTGAAGGTCTTCAGTGGACCTCATGTGGTCTTTCTAAAAGCTGGAATCACCTCTCTTATTGATTTGATTTTGAATATGCAAAAGACAAGCAGCAATGTTTTTACTACACGTTATCATTTTCTGGAGTACAAGTATTTAGACTTTGTTAAGACGATTCAGGGGGGATGCAGTGGTAGTATTATATGCATTTCTTTACTCCAGGATGTCTAACATATTCTTAAAGATGCTTCTTTTGTAGAAATGTTCACATTCATTCATTTACGTCACCACACCCACTGATATGGTACATCTGCTTGTGCTGCATTTTCAATAGAGATTCTTTTTTACCTTCAATTCAACATAGCTAAAACATCTTTAAAAGGACAAAACACACTTTATTAAAATTGAACAATTGAGTTATTTCTACAGCCGTTTGCATTGTGTGTGTGTGTGTGTGTGTGTGTGTGTGTGTGTGTGTGTGTGTGTGTGTGTGTGTGTGTGTGTGTGTGTGTGTGTGTGTGTGTGTGTTAGTCAAAATCAATTACTAGCTTAAGATACGTTCCTTTTTTGTATTAATTGGCAGAAACATGACTGGACTGTGGTTAAATAAATCCCTCCAGATGAATCTTGATAAGGATTGAACACAAGTTATTGTTTAGTGTATGCTGGCTGTTAAAATGATGACATTCACTGCCTCAAATAAAAAGAACTTTCAAAAGAAACTTTTTAAAAAAATGGAGCAGATGCAGAAATGTCAAAAGCATCAGGATCCAGTGCTGACAGAAAGAAAGAAAGAAAGAAAGAAAGAAAGAAAGAAAGAAAGAAAGAAAGAAGAAAGAAAGAAAGAAAGAAAGAAAGAAAGAAAGAAAGAAAGAAAGAAAGAAAGAAAGAAAGAAAGAAAGAAAGAAAGAAAGAAAGAAATATTTGTAGTAAGGGAAGACAGCTGCCAGTGACATACCTGGCAAAAAAGACACATTTTTCATTTTAATTTTCCAACAATGAGCTCAACGTGCAAGAAAAAGCTTTCAAGACAATATATATGAAATATGTGTTTTTTATTTGAAAATCTTTGAAAATGTAATTTATTACTGTGATGCAAAGCTGAATTTTCATCATTACTCCAGTCTTCAGTGTCACATGATCCTTCAGAAATCATTCTAATATGCTGATTTGCAGCTCAAGAAACATTTATTATTATTATCAATGTTGAAAACGTTTTTTTTTTAGGAAACGCATTTATTTGAAATAGAATCTTTTGTAAAATGTAAATGTCTTTACTGTCACTTTTGATCACTTTTAGTTTTCTTTGCTCATCACTATAGGGGAAGAATGTGTGTGTTCTCATGCTACTGTGTGTTCCCCTCTCCATGATGGACATCCCTGGTCCTTGCAAACATGCCATAACCATGGACCACCTGCTTCAACTAAAACAACTGGTGAGGAATCACATCTCAATAAAGCTTCAAGGGATCATCCTTTGATTTTTTTTTTAAATGTGGCAGCTCAAAGCCTAGCAATGAATGTCTCCTAACTTTTCGTCTCATGTCTTTTTACTCTTCAGATCAGTAACCAGTTGCGGACTGGCTGTTCAATCACATATTCATTCATTGAAAGAAAACACCTGGTAAGAGCATCTTTAAAACATTGTCTCGCTCTACTTTTAAAACAATGTTTAAAAACAGGTTTGTTCTCTTTCCATAATACAAGATTCTATTCCAAAATCTTCTGTTTCATATCTGCCCTTGGAAATGCAGCAAAGTTGGAGGTGTGTTTTAGATTAGATGCTCACTCCAAAGTGTCATCACTCATAGATGAGATTTCCATTGTGGCATCCATGACATGGTTGAAATCAGCATGCATTTTGATGTAGATCTTTGACGTATCTGTTGGTACAATTTGTATGTAACAGTCTTTTTATTCTGTAGACAGTCCAAACTTCTGAACTTTGGTTTATTTATTTTTTAAATCTGAAGCATATTCAATAGGACCATATTACAGTAATCAGTGTTGAGGGTAACGTGTTACAGGTAATACGAGTTACGTAATCAGATAACTATTTTCAAGTAACTAGTAAAGGAACACATTACTTTTACATTTACAACAAAATATCTGAGTTACTTTTTGAAAGGTTTGTTTGAGCTGCACTCTCTACTGTACAGGCATGAATGAGCTAACACTCCTTCAGCCTGAGGAAACTTTCCCCAACACTGACAGTAACACTTTTACAATAAGGTCCTATTAGTTAACATTAACAAACAATAAGAAATACATTTAGTACAGTTTTTATTAATCTTTTTGAACATTAGTTAATAAAAGCATTGTTAGCACATTGATTTTCACATTGCACACATTAAGGTCCATAGAATAATAGTATTAACGTATACATACAACTTACCTGTATCCCACCTCAATAGCAGAAAAGGTGTTTTGCAATACAACATGAACACAATGCATTGTGCATTATACCTAACAATTTTTTTTGTTAATGTAAGTACAAAAAGCTGCACCCCAGTTCAGAGGCTGCATCCTTCCATTTGTCAAACTAATGTTAACAAATGGAAACTTATTGTAAAGTGTTACCCATATTCAGCTGTGGATTGTCTGTAAAAGCAGATGGGGCAGGGTCCCACTAAAATATTTATCCAAACATAGACCTCTATATACACTAAATTAATAATAAATTGTAAATGTGTTCAGCATTCTGCAACAAATATTTTTCAGATTTTCTAGACTATTTTAAAGGGGTCATGAACTGCATTGTTTTATTGTTTTTTAATGTTTCCTGGGGTGCACTTATAATGTGTAAATTTAGAAATAAAAGGCATTTTCCCTACCCTGGTTTTAGCCCTCTGATTTTGAAGGGGCGTGTCTGCTGTGAGACTTCATTGTAAACGCTCAGTGCTGTGATTGGCTAACATCTTTGCATATGAAATAAGTATTACATGTGGAAATCTCTCAAAAACATTTAGCACGTTTTTACTATTACAGCTCTCAAGATTAACTAATTGAGAAAGGTGTTGATTATAGCATTATATTTAGATCTAGATCGTGGCATGAAAGGTTGCAGTGATCCATATTATAGCTGATCACAGACATGTTGAGAGCATGAATGCAGTGATCTCGTCATTGCAACTCGATTTCGGCACTCTATCGAATGCTTTCATCATAACTAACTGTGCAAACCATGGTGAAAAAATGATTTAAATAAGAGATTCATTGATTATAACAGGAGTTTTGGTGCGAATCCAGAACTCAGTCACTGATAAACTCGCGCTGTTTGATTGATAGCTCTAGCGATTGTACAGGGAGCATTCTTTGATCGCTTTCTATATATAATTTAATCACAGTTTAAATAACAGATTATTTTCATCCTACTAAGAGAAACAATCTGAAGTTGCCCTTTTAGTCACTGTCACTGGTTTGATTAACTGATACATCTGACTGTACATGAATCATTACATATCAGAAATCACTGGTCACAGATCACGCGTTAGAATTAACACGTTACTTACATGTTGTGGCAATATTGTCAAGTTCATATCATAAAAGTCTGTTTGCAAAGCCTGCTCCGAAATTGAGACTGATTTACCAAAGAATCCACAGTAAAATGGACTGAAAAAATAAATAATGCTCAACTGAGACATTCACAATGTTGAAAATAAATGACCACATTACTACATAATTTTTAGTCCAGTAATCCTGTATCGCTCCTCTCTCCTCGTCATCTCACTAACACGCCAGTGGGCGGAGCCAAACTTGCAATGATGAAGTAGGTGTTGATCCTCTTCTGCAGAGCGTGGTCATGTGAATAGCCTTTTTACACAGTAGTTCTATTGTGTTTGTTTTATGTTTGTTCTGAGAATAGACATGACTTTGTTTCCCTCATTAGAATTCCTACACAACTTGCAACATACTAAAACATCATTCGGAGACAATAAATACTATATTAAGGTGATTCTAAGATGGCATTCTATGCGTTAGTCGTGTGCATTAAAGTATGTCAATCATCATTAGATTTCTCCCAAAAGTGCGTATGATGTGTTCAGTGATATAAAGCTCACAAATTGTTTATCATAATAGCTAAGATCCAGAATCTGCCCGACCTAAATTTACGGCCAGGAACCGCTACGGCCCATATTACAGAAAATTATCCACAAAGTATGTTGATTTCTCCAGCAAAACCAAAGCCAGCTGCCTTATCTCTTTTGAAAGCAAAGTTAAGTACACGTGCTAATGTGCCAGATTTTATTCTCCAGTTGTCGCCAACCTGTTTCTTACTGTTTCTCCTTCTTTGTTCTTTAGAGCGTGGTGTGTTATGTGAAGGCTACTTTGCCAAGGGTGCTTGAACTGTTCAACGTCCACTTCAAATATGTGCGGGGCTCAGGAAGTGCTCAAGCAGTGGTCTCCATACAGAACCTCATTCTCAACATCTACTCCCAACACTGCATACCTTTACTGAATGAAGAACTGGAGGTGTTTGCACTCACACTCACATATCTTGATCTCAGGGACAAAAAAGTAGGCTTCTCTAGGCTACTTTAAAATTAGTTCATAATTGTCAGGGAAAAAAAATAAGAAAAAAATGTGGTAACACTTTACAATGAGGTTCAATTTCACTATTAAAAATAAAATGTTCTTTATTGGCATTGATTGTTCCATTAAGAACCTTTAACATGGAATCCGTCCACTGCACAAAAGGTTTATGATAGTGGTAAAAGGTTCTTTGGATTTTTATGATGTTTTTTTATTTTTATTATGTAGTTAACATATTACACAGCTCTCTGGAATGCTCCATTCTGATTGGTTCATCACTGCGTTCAGAGGTCTGATATTTTCTAATCACCATACATCAGTCACCCATCTGGTAACTGAAACTGGTGTCTCTTTAATCACACCATGGACTCTCACTTCATACAAATGCAACTGGCAGCATCTTGAGTCTGTTATTGATTGGCGTGTAAATTACTCTTTTTTATATATTACTGCGCTGCTTAGTTGCAGTGTTCGTCTTGCTCAAATATCAGCATGGTAGCAAAATTGATAATAGTTCGAATAGACTGTTGTCTAAAAATCAATAAGTAACTTGCAATTTAGGTTCAGATGAAAATATTTCCAAGCAAAGCCACATTACTTTTTTAAGGAATCATATGAGTCAATGATTCAATGACCCTTTTGTTCCTAAATGAATCAACCGTTTTGAAAGAATTGGTTGAATGATTGATTCAATGACTCACTTATAAAGACAGTGACTTGCGTTGCCACCAACTTAGTTACATGTACAGTATATATGTATCATTTAATATTTCTTATTAAAAATTGTATATTTAAAACAATCTCATAATATTATGTATGCAATTGTAATTGCAGTGTAGATACATTCATGGATTAAAGTTAAGTTGCATACTAAGTTGCATTAAAGGGTTAGTTCACCAAAAAATTTAAATTCCGTCATTTCCGTCACCCTCATGTCGTTCCAAACCTGAAAGACCATCGTTCATCTTCGGAACACAAATTAAGATATACGAGCTTTCTGATCCCTCCATTGACAGCAACGTTCATTTGACTCCATTGGTTCAAATGTAATGTTATTAAGCGACGAGAATACTTTTTGTGCGCATAAATAAATAAATAACGACTTTATTAATTAATTTCTTCTCTTCTGTGTCAGATCTCCTACGTTTTTCATGTTGTAAACACAGTACAGCACTTCCATTTTCTACACCAGAATGCCGCCTCACTATTGGCCGACGCTGGTCACATGAGCACCATGACACATACGTGTGATGCTGACCCAGGAGTCAGCCAATAGTGAGGCGGCGTTCTGATGTAGAACCCGGAAGCACTGCACTGTTTACACTATGTCAACCGCGTAGGAGAATGACGTGGAAGAGATTGTTGAATAAAGTCGTTATTTTGGGGGGTTTTGCACACAAAAATATTCTTGTTGCTTCATAACATTACATTTGAACCACTGGAGTCACATGGACTATTTTATAATGTCTTTACTACCTTTCTGGGCCTTGAAAGTTGCAATGACGTTGCTGTCTATGGAGGGATCAAAAAGCTCTTGGATTTCATAAAAAATATCTTAATTTGTGTTCCGAAGATGAATGAAGGTCTTACAGGTTTGGAACAACATGAGGGTTAGTAATTAATGACAGAATATTCATTTTTGGGTGAACTAACCCTTTAATCACTGTCTATTTTCCTTTACTTAATAAATGCTATAAAATAAGGCTATTGTTCATTGCATTACCAATTGTTAATGTATATACTCTTCATGTAAAGTGTTATCCACTTTTTAAAGGAATCCAACATTAAAAATCTATTGGTAGGCTGTAGAAATTAACATTTACCAAGCAAGATTAATTAATGATAAAAAAATGTGGGGTTACACTTTATTTTAAGGTATCCGTGTTACAGTGTAGTTATGCATTTAAGTACAGTGTAATAATGATTAACTACATGTACTTACTATAGGGTTAGGGTTAGGATTGGGGTTTGGTTTAGGGTTAGTTGCATGTAATTATGCATAATTTATAGTTATATAGTAACTACATGTAACGTGTAACAAGGACACTGTGAAAAAAGTATTGTTCACTGGTGGTTCATTTTGCCCATTGCATTAACTAATTTTTCACCATCTTATTGTAAAGTGTTAGATTGCAAGACAGAGAATCTTGAAGGCCTACATTTCTTTTGGCAGTCTGATATGGCAGGTTTGCTTGATTTTGGTCTGCACAATTGGAATTGCATAAATCGCAGAAGCACTTCAAGAGTGTTTGTATGTATATGTGAGTTTAGTCTTTTGTGAAACCACAAACAGATTTGAAATGCTCAGGGGTCACATTTCAAAAGTAGCAGTCTGGAGTTGGTTGTGTTTTCTATATAATGTTGCGATATGAAAGACTGAAACTGATCCACTCTTTGATGAAATGTATTCAGAGACATCACTCAAGCACAAATGTTGGTCCATATCTTTGATCAAATCTGCACTCCTCATATGTTCTTGTCGTGAGAGCCACAGATCTCCAGTAAAACCCTTAGAAGTCCTACAGCAATGTAAAGATGTCTGAGGATATATTAGTTTTTTCTTATAGCTTATAAAGCTAGTTGAGCATTGTTAATTGGTTTACTTACAACCCTGTCACATTTGTAGTCATTTTCATTTATTTAAAAAAATATTTCTTCAAATCCACTTGAGAATTTTTCCATCTGGCAGCTGGTGTCGTATATCATCGGTGCGTGAGAAATGTGGTTTCAAGTACAAAAAGTAAAAAGAAGTCATGCTGTCTCTTTGTTATAGTTGTACTGTGAAAAAGGCATCGTTACAGCCTCTGTACCTGCTTTCAACCTAATTTTTTCTTTTCTAATAAGCTTTTGGTGATTTATTGACAATGTCATTACTAACATGCACTAGTGTGGCATGAGGCAAAAACTCTTTCAGCACCCTCTTCATTCAAATATAATCTCTCATGGCATGAAGAAAAGCATGTGGATTATAGGATCCATTCAAACTACACTTGAGGAAACGGTTATCTCTAGCTTTGCTGAAGATAATACTGAAAAACAATTTGAAAAACTTGTCTTGACTTGACTAAGAAAGACTTGACTTAACTTGCGTGAGCATTTCCAACATTCATACGGATTCCCCATTCAGATCAAAGGAGAAACATATTGAGGCCAATTTTTAAACCTGCTACGCACTTGACAAATTGAACTTCAAACTTTTTTTTTTTCATGTTTGAATTCAGCTTTGGTGATCATAAGAGACTTCAAAAACATTAAACATAAAACAATAAAAAATAAAAACATTTGAATGGTTGTGTAATGCACACTATGATAATGCTATATATATATATATATATACTTTAGATATCTGTAATAAATATATTACTAAACAAATTATTTTATATTTTTAAACTATTTTATTTAAAAAATATAATTCACTAAAAAAACTGTATTATTGTTTCACTCATATTAAAATCAGATAGGTGAACTTCAGAGTGATTTTTTAAAACACTTAAGTCTTAACAACACCTTTATTTGTAATCTCATAATTACTTCTATTCATTGAAATATTTGACTTTGAAACTTTACTGCTGAATGTGCTGAAATATACTTTAATGTAATTTATATTGAAACTATTGTCAAGTATTTCAATAAGTGCACATTTGTTGTTTATTTAAAATATATGAACTTTACAGGTAATATGAAATAACACTTTACACGTTTAATTCGGTAGTCAACATATCAAAATAAGTGTACTTTAAAGCAGGACAAAAAATATTTAAACATAATGGTTTTAATTTGACATGAAGAGTATTAAGTGTGTTAAAAAAACTGTTATGAAAGTGAATACTCTCTTTAAGTACACTTAAGTTGCCTTTTTCATTATTATATAATCTGCAAGTATAGTTTTTTTTAAAGTACTTAAGATTTGAAGTAGACCACAAGTGCACATTCAATTCAAGTAAACACACTTCTTTTTCACAAGGGATGGACCACATTTATGATACTTTGATGGTACTACTGTGTTCTTTTTGAAGCTTGAGAGCTTTGTGTATGTTAAAAAAGAGAAAGTAGTGGTTTCAGAACAACATGAGGTTGAGTAGATGATGACAGAATTGACATTTTTATGTGAAATATCCCTGTAGGATCCACAATGTTAAATTACAGTTGAACCCCATCTCTCAGCATTTATTTGTTGGTTTTTCTTTCACTCTGACTCTCTGCAGGAGGACCCTGTAGCATTCGAGAGGCAGTACAATGAGACTCCAGTCCAGGCACTTCAAAGAGTCGAGGAGGTTCTGTCCCTCTACTTGCACCTCATCACATCCACTAACACTCCTGTTAACTGGACCTGCGAGCAAGAGTACAACATCAATGTACCTCCTACTGAGACACCGCTAACCACTAGCACAGGTGATTGCACACACACATACATTAGTCTACAACTCTACATGAAAAAGAAACAGGTACAGTACACTAGTGAAGCTGTAGGCAAGACAGATGCTTTTCAAACACACACACACACACACACAGCCCTCCATCAATGATTAAAGCCACATGTTTGTCCTTTGAAAGAGGTTGCGGTGGGATTATCCAGGCAAGCTCCTCAGGGGTCCTCCAGTGATGATTTCTACAGACTGGGCTTCATTGTGGTCTCCATCTGTGGAGGATTTCTTTTCCTTCTCACTGCCTACTGCCTCCTAGAGAGAAAGGTATGCCATTCCTCCATAAATGCCGTAAGAGCATTTTTACTTGGGTCCAAACTCCAAAGCTTTTATGTACACAATTTGTTATAATGTTGTAAGTTTCCATAAGGTCAGACAGGCAAAGTATTGTCCTTCATGATTGTCAGCAGCATTTTATATGGATAAAGTCACTTGTTCTGGTGCTTTTGTTGAAGTATTTTGATGACAGGTAGTGACAAACACATTTCCAAGTTATTTCAAAGACTTGGCAATATTCTGATAGGCCTAGTGCTTCACGATGAAAGACCTCCAGCCAGCACAATGTGCTTCACCTCAATCTGGTATTGATTTGTGATGGTGTGTGTGTGTCTAACGCTGAGTATTTACAGCGCCCTTAAGTCTTTTAATTTTTATTCGTTGCAAAAATTAAACTAAGTCTCTTTGGCTAAATGTCTACCAGACTCTGAACAATTGCTCCAGGTTGTTGGGGGGAGGGGGGATGCGTCCTAAATGGGATACTCTCTTGAGTATAGGTACTTATTTTGAAAAAGTACTTTGAATGCTCTAAAAAAACTCGTATGTTCTATAGGTCTGAAGGATCATGAATGTAATCCGGATGTACTACATTGGCCATGTTGCCATTATCATGTGACCAGTGTTGGGTTTAATGCATTGCTAAATAATGAATGAATGTAATTTAATTACTTTCCCCTTGAAAAAGTAAAGTAAGTGTATCTCTTCATTTTTCTGTAATTTAAAGTTACTTCTGATGTAATTGTATTAGATAAGAAATAAATAAAAATAAGACTACAGAACAATTCTATGTAAAACAATAGTGGATTTAACGTATACATTTAAAGTTTAATGTTAAAATGTATGTTTTTAATGTACCGTTCTCCCTTTATTTACTTTGGTCTTTTATGCAATTTTAAATTATTTATTTGAAAGAATTAAAAGACCAGTTTCATGTCTATTCTTTTATGGTTCAACTGGTCAAGTTTGATATGGGCAATGAACAATGAATAAACAATAAACAATGAATAAACAATAAACACTGTTGTAATTAGTAGATAATTAATTACTTTTTTTACAGTAACTTACCCTGCACTAAATGTGATACCAGTGTCAGTTGCGTTGCTTCACTGCCATTAATAAGTCCTCTTCCGTGTCCTCATGTCAAGTCAAGTCACCTTTATTTATATAGCGCTTTTTACAATACATATTGTATCAAAGCAGCTTCACAGTGATAACATGAAAATAATACAACAAAGTTTGTTTCTAGAAGAAAATTGCGTCAACGTCCACCTTAAGTAAGGCAGATCAACAATATTGTTGAATATTAAATGTCCCCAACTAAGCAAGCCAAAAGCCAAGGCAACAGTGGCAAGGAACCAAAACTCCATCAGGTGACAAAATGGAGAAAAAAACCTTGGGAGCAACCAGACTCAGTCGGGGGCCAGTTCTCCTATGGCCAACGAAGCAACAGTGTATGATTCAGGCAGCATTACAAGTCAGATTGGATCAGAACATTTAGAGTATTTATCCATTTCCATCTGTTTGGAAGTCGAAGTAATCACGCCGGTATGGAGACGAGTTGTTGAGGATCAGTGCCGATGGCTGTCGTGTCGATGAGGCCTTCACAGGGCTGATGAGGCTGGCACTTCAGGATGAGTTGGGATGGGTCCAGGCGCAGGTCCACCATAGAGGGTCCCTCGGGATAAACAGAGAGACTAATATTAGCGTAGACGCCATCCTTCTTATGATGTACCAAGTACATCAGGATTTACGGGACGTGTTCCCGGTTCCGGCTGATCTAAATTATGCAGCCTAATTTTGAATTAAGGAAGTGTGTTATGTGTATGCTAGGCCAAAGAGATGTGTTTTTAGTCTAGATTTGAACTGATAGAGTGTGTCTGCTTCCCGGACAATGTTAGGAAAATTGTTACAGAGTGTTGGTGCTAAATAGGAAAAGGATCTACCGCCTGCAGTCGATTTTGATATTCTAGGTATTATCAACTGGACGGAATTTCGAGAACGCAATTGGCGTGAAGGACTATAATGCGTTAAGAGCTCGCTCAAGTACTGGGAGCTAAACCATTTAGTGCTTTGTAAGTAATCAGCAATATTTAAAAATGTATACGATGTTTAATAGGCAGCCAATGCAGTGTTGACAGAACCGGGCTAATATGGTCATATTTCCTGGTTCTGGTAAGAACTCGAGCTGCTGCGTTTTGAACTAGCTGTAGTTTGTTTATTAAGCGTGCAGGGCAACCACCCAGTAGAGCATTACAATAATCTAGTCTTGATGTCATGAACGCATGAACTAATTGTTCCGCATTTGTCAATGAGAGCATATGGCGTAATTTAGATATATTTTTAAGACGGAAAAATGCGATTTTACAGATACTAGACACGTGATTTTCAAATGAAAGATTGGCATCAAAGAGCACACCCAGGTTCCTAACCAACGAACAAAGACTTAAAAGAGCAGCCATCAAGTGTTAGACAGTATTCTAGGTTATTACGTGTGGAAGTTTTTTGTCCAATAATTAGAATCTCTGTTTTTTTGAGAATTTAGTGGTAGGAAATTACTAGTCATCCAATTTTTTATATCAGCTATGCATTCCGTTAATTTTGTGAATTGGTAAGTTTCGTTAGGTTTTGAAGAAATATACAGCTGAGTATCATCGGCATAACAGTGAAAGCTAATTCCATGTTTCCCAATGATATCTCCTAATGGTAGCATGTACAGAGTGAACAGCAGCGGTCCTAGTACTGAGCCTTGTGGTACTCCATACTGAACTTGTGATCGATAAGACATCTCTTCATTTACTGCTACAAACTGATAACGGTCAGATAAGTATGATTTAAACCATGCTAATGCAATTCCACTAATGCCAACATAGTTTTCTAGTCTATTTAAAAGAATGTTGTGGTCAATTGTGTCAAATGCAGCACTAAGATCAAGTAACACTAATAGAGAGATACAAACCGTGATCGGATGATAAGAGCAAATCATTTGTGACTCTGATGAGAGCTGTCTCGGTACTATGGTATGGTCTAAATCCGGACTGAAAATCCTCGCAGATATCATTTCTTTCAAGAAAGGAACACAGTTGTAAGGATACTGCTTTTTCAAGTATCTTTGACAGAAAAGGCAGGTTCGAGATCGGCCTGTAATTGACTAATTTTGTATGATCAAGTTGCGTTTTTTTAACAAGCGGTTTTATCATAGCCAGCTTAAAGGTTTTTGGCACGTATCCTAGAGACAAAGACGAATTAATGATATTAAGAAGAGGATCTATGACATCCGGAAGCATCTCTTTCAGTAGCTTAGTCGGAATAGGGTCTAACTGTAACGATGCGGGAAGAATGAAGCGGGAAGAATTAAGCGAGAAGTGAATCCAATTGCAAGCACATTTATTAACAAAACAAACAAACAAAAGAAAGAAAGAAACTCAGACCAGGAACACGGAAACAGCAACCATTACAACATTAAGAACTCACAAGGACCAAACTAAAACACAGGGCTTAAATACAGAGGACCGGGTGAGTGAAACAAGACACAGCTGGGCAATTAACTAAGAACACAGGTGGAAAACATGAACACAAACGAGGAGCGGGAAAACTAGACAGGACTAAACCAAATACACAATAATGGGGGGAACACAAGACAGACAGGAGCAAGACATGAACCCACACCGTGACACTAACATACAAGTTGTTGATTTAGATGAATTAACGAGTTTGCAAAATTCTTCCTCTCCTATAGCAGCAAATGAACCAAATTTTTCCTCAGGGAGACTACAATGCACTCCCTGATGCGATACTGTAGTAGACGGTTGCATAGTTATAATTTTGTCCCTGATATTATCAATCTTATAAGTGAAGAAGTTCATAAAGTCATTACTGCTGTGTTGCTTGGACACTTCTGGGCTTGAAGCTTTCTTTTTCGTTAGTTTAGCCACTGTTTCAAATAGATACCTAGGATTATGTTTATTTTCTTCTAATAGGGTTGAAAAATAAGCAGATCTAGCAGTTTTTAAGGCCTCTCTGTATGCAATCGAGCTCTCCTTCCATGAAATCCAAAATACCTCTAGTTTAGTTTTCTTCCAGCTACGCTCCATTTTTCTGGCTGCTCTCTTAAGGGCCTGGGTGTGCTCGTTGTACCACGGCGTTGGACTATTTTCTTTAATCTTCTTTAAGCGCAACGGAGCAACTGCGCCTAAAGTCCTGGAAAATAGAGAGTTAAAAGTTTCTGTCACAATATCGAGTTCTTCTAAGCTATCCGGGATGCTGAGATGATGAAACTGATTAGGAAGATTATTGATAAAGCAATCTTTAGTGGCAGAAATTATAGGTCTAACATATTTATAACACGGAGTCGGCTTTGCTGCTTTGGCTAAGTGAAGTTTACATGAGACTAGAATAGATAATGATCTGAGATGTCATCGCTCTGCTGCAGAATTTCAACGGCATCAACATCTATTCCATGTAATAGTATTAGATCTAGAGTATGATTATGACGATTAGTAGGTCCTGACACGTGATGTCTAGCTCCAATTGAGTTTACAATGTCTTTAAATGCCAATCCCAATGCATCTTTTTCATTATCTACATGTATATTAAAATCACCAACAATTAGTACTTTATCTGCAGCCAGTACTAACTCTGATAGAAAGTCCGCAAATTCTTTGATAAAATCTTTATGGTACCCTGGTGGCCTGTATACAGTAGCCAGCAGAATTCTCAAACGTGATTTATCATTCACACTATATATTTTTACATTAAGCACCAATACTTCAAAAGAAGTATATTTAAAACTAGATTTCTTAGTGGTTTTCAAGATATTACTATAAATTACAGCAACACCTCCCCCTTTGCCTTTCAGACGAGGTTCATGTTTATAACTGTAATCTTGTGGGGTTGACTCATTTAAAGTAATGTAATCGTTTGGTTTTAGCCAGGTTTCTGTCAAACACAGCACATCTAGATTACAATCTGAAATCATATCATTAACTATGAGCGATTTTGAAGTAAGGGATCGAATATTCAGCAACCCAAGCTTTATCATTTGCTCATCTGTATTATATCTGTTTTTTATTTGTTGAACATCTATTACATTTTTAATCTGACGTTTTTAGGATATCCAAATTCGGGGAACAGACACAGTCTCTACATGATATCTAGGTGAAAGAGCCTCTATGTGATGGGATTTATCTGACCTTGGTGACACGAGGCCGCTAGCAGACGGTCGGTTTAGCCAGTCTGTCTGCTTCCTGACCTGGTGCCAAATTTGTCATGTTTTAGCTCTAAGACTATGAGCCAAATTACTAGAGAGAAGAGCAACACCATCCCAGGAGGGATGAATACCATCTCTTTCAACAGGTCAGGCTTGCCCCAAAATTTTTTCCAATTGTCTATGAATTCTACATTATTTTGCGGACACCACTCAGACAACCAGCGATTTAGTGAACACAATCTACTAACTATCTCATCACTCCTGCGAACCGGAAGGGGGCTAGAGCAAATTACAGTGCCTGACATCGTACTTGCGAGTTCACACACCTCTTTAATATTAATTTTAAATTTAATTGTCGAACATCATTAGTGCCGACATGAATAATGATCTTAGAGAATTTACGATTAGCATTAGCCAGCACTTTTAAATTTGCTTTGATGTCAGGCGCTCTGGCTCTCGGCAAACATGTGACTATGGTGGCTGGTGTCTCTATTTTCAAGTTCCGTGTGATCGAATCACCAAATACCAGGGCACAATCAACAGAATTCTCAGTGGGTGTTTCACTGAGTGGGGCAAATCGATTTGTTATGGGAATCGGAACGGAAGAGTGGCTCTTTGATCCGCGACTAGAGCAGCGATCCCTAACTGTTACCCATCTGCCTGGCTGCACGGGCTCTACTTCAGCCGGAACCGAATCATGGCTGAAGTAAAGAGTTCACTATGCATTCAAAATACTATCTAAAGATCTAGCATTCTTACCATCCTCATTTAAAGTTTGTATGTGTGTCTCTAGTTCTGAAATCTTCTCCGTCAGCCTGACTGTCTCCTTGCATTTATCAGATATAAATCCTATATTGCCATCGGAGAAGGCTATACTAAACATATGACATGTGACACAGGTGACAATAACAGGACAAGACATTTCTCACCGTGTTTGTTGACTGATTCTTACTCATCGTGTTTGTTGACTGGTTCTTACTCACTTGCGCTTTTTCTGAACTCAAAGGCGCGTGCGCGCGAGAGAAAATAAAAAAATAAATAAATGAGCGCACGGGTGGCGCGTTAACAGGCTAGCGAGTTACCAGTGTGTTGTGCTAACAATAACGGAAGCTAGCGGTGTAAGGTTAATCTGAGATGTTGGGTAAGATGTATTTAGTAGTATAAACAACTAGAAATGATGGTTCAAAACAGAAAGAAATACGAAGGTAATACGAGGTTTAGACGGAGCGTCTAAATAGGATAGTAAAGTGTCCATCGTATGCACACTTCAGTATCTTGCCGGGAGTAGTAGGTCATCCGGGTACATTTTGCTTATTCCTTTATGAGTACTGTGATTTTTGAACATACCATACTGTTTTTCGCATACTAAAAGTATGTGATTTCAAACACAGCCATAAGTCAGTTATTTAGAAGGTGCTCTAGCAATATATGTTAGTTCCCTCTGACGAAAAGCAGCACCACATGATGCTATTATCACCTTACTGAAGTTCTCTATAGATTATAGAGGCATTGCTCCTCAGGTCTGACTGTGAATTTCGGCTTAAAAGGTTCATATCCTAATCTAAATAAACAATCTTTTTCCACTTTGGAATAGGATCCCTTGTGAAAAAGAGGTGCACTTAATTCTGTAGAATGTGTTCTTGTTGTGTACTTCAAATCCTAAAAGTGTAGGTCTATATATATTTTAAAATCTGTACTGTATAGATAATGTTAATGAAATAAAAGGCAACTTATGCGTAGAGAGTACACTTTAATGACTATGTTTTGTAACAAGTTTTACTTTAAAGTACATTTTAAATCATTATGTTTTAATAATCTTTTGTCATGTGGTCATGCACACTAAGTACACACACTGACTTGTCAGTTAAACCCATTAGCCCCAGCTGGTAGATATTGTAACTACACCATCTGGCAGAAAAATCATTATTCTCTATTGACAGCCATTCAAATGTCACATTGTAATAATAAATAATAATCAAAAAATAAATAAAATGTTTTATTATATTAGTAGGCTAGATCTTTTGCCAGTGGCCGGTGCTTGTAGGCCTCTTAATAGCGTGAAATGAATTTGGAATAGATATTTATTAATGTCAGCTGTCTTGTTAAAAAGGAAAACTGGAGGCAGAAATATCTTGAAGCAAACAAAATGTGAAGGATTTTTCTCATATCTTACATTCATCATCATTAGGTCAGCTATGCTTACATAGTAGTACATCGAACCTCACACTTAAACTGTAACTGGTTTTAAAAAGAGTAACAAAAAGCAAGAAGTAAAAAAAGAAAAGAGTATTTGTTGAATGTGTGACATCATTCATGCATGTAATTTCATCTGTAATTCTGTTTCCACAACAGAAGCTGCAACGCCAGCTTCACAGAACAAGAATTTCATCGGACTGGGGGTAACTTTGTCTTTTATCTTACCTATTTTTGCTGTACAATGTTTTAATGTTGGCATACACACTGTATATATTTAAATGCTTTGTATGACCTATTACATAAAACAAATCTATGCATATAGCAAAAATCTAAATTTCTCTTTACAGATTACAAGTTGTCCAAAACTTTGAAATCCAAGAGGAAGTATGTAAGTATTTGATTTTTAATCCTTGCTTGATTTTGCATCAATGTCAAAATTGACAATAAAAGTAAATGAATAGCCTACCTATAAACATCCCCCAATACTTAGAATAGAAATATGATACTTGGTTTGGTATTTGAAAGTAATGAACTTTGGGTAATGCTAAAGGATACATTCCTTCACTTAAAAAAAAATAATTCTGTCAACATTTACTCACCCTCAAGTTGTAAAAAAATATATATTTTGAAGAATGTCAGTAACCAAACAGTTGATGGTCCTTATAGACTTCCACAGTATTTTTTGTATATTGAATGGGGCCCATCAACTGTCTGGTTATGAACATTCTTCAAAATATCTTCTTTTGTGTTCAGCAGAAGAAAGAAATCTTTGTTTTGGAACAACTTGAGGGTGAGTAAATGTTGACAGAATGTTTTTAAGTGAACTATTACTTTAATGTACATAATTTCAGATATTATCTTCAGCACAAAATCAATTGAGATCAGTAGAGGTCAGATGCCCTTGGAAGGACATTAAACATCTTGTATATTGCAAGCAAGTGATGAAAAACAAGGTAAAAAAAGGAAAAGAAAAACCTTGGTTGAACATTTTGACATAAACTGGGGAACTGCAGGACGTTCAGTGAATGTTCTTGATGAAAAGCTAATAATTAACTAAGTTATTAAAATGTAAAATAAATATAAATAATTAAAAAATGAAAATAAAACACAAAAAGCATTAAATTAAATGTAAATATTGAAGGGGGTACTTGAAATAAATATTTTTGACTGACAAGAAAAAAATGAAACGACAAACAAGCCTCTAGTCTAGAGAATGAATTATTATAACAATGATAAACTGATAGACCTACACACACACACACACACACTGTACTCAACGTCTTGTCAAACTACTCAGTACTCTCAGCATTCAGATCGTTGACATTATGAAAAATGCAGATGTGCTCATATACTTGCTTCTCCTTTCTCATCTTGTGTAGACCAGACTGACCGACGGAAAGCGCTTGGCTCACACCTCTCCACTGCCTTCTAACTGATTCTCGAGTGGAGAAAAGCCTTTACGCTTTAGGAAGACCACGACATGACATCACCAGACGAAGTTTCCAACAGCAGAGGAAACAGACTTAAGATATACTTCTAATTATTTGTTATACACCTTGGGCCTTGTACATATGTAAATATGCATATTGTTACAAACATCTATTTCTGGACTACTGGAAAAGTCAAAGTATTGCATGCTCAGTAATGCTACAGTTACATCAATCCACAAAGCACCTGTAAATCAGTCAATCATATTTTGTTTCAAAATTGGTTTCAGTTGTCAGTATAATGCTGTTATTGTTCATATGTGGGCAGTATCTTACAGTAAAGGCTTCATTTGGTAATACACAACTTTTTTTTTTTTTTTTTTACATTTCCTTCAATTTCCATATACATTTTACATTTTAAAGAGGTTTAAGGGTTGAGCTAAAATTGTGTGAAAACAATTATTAGTCAAAATACTCCAGATAACACTCAAGATACTCCAGATAACATATCTGGCATATTTTCCAAAAAAAGGTCAAAAGGTTATTTTAGGAGAGCAGTTTTGCTCGTTTATAGATTTGTATACTTTTTAAAATAAAAATTCTTTATAGCATCAATGGTTCCATTAAGAACCTTTAACATCCATGTAACTTAGCAATTCACAAAAGGTTCTTTATAGTGGAAAAAGGTTCTTTAGATTATTAAAATGTTCTTCACTAAGAAAAAAAAATGGTTCTTTTAAGAACTGATCACTGAAAAGTTATTTGGGGAACCAAAAATCGCTGCTAAGCTTGCTTTATATAGGCTAAGTGTAGCGTATGGGAACTTTAATGTGGTTTAGGACAAAGCCACAGAAAGCCAAAATCCATGCAGGATAGCATAATATACTATAAAGGAACAGAAGAAAACAATTCCAGACATGGATGTTTCCGGTCGACCCACTTGGGCGTTTTCATTTGCATTTTGTTTCTGTCTGGAGTGTGTGTCACTGTTTGGCTTAGCATTAAACACTCAAAGGCTTCTCTCGAAATCAAAAACAAGGAAATGTGGGAGAGATTTTCGGACGTCTGCTAATGATTACAACAAGCCAGTCATCCAAGCGAAAAAGGAAGAGCTTTTGTTAAGCAGAAAAACAGGACATAGCTTCTTGTGCATGAGATTTGAAGGTCTGCTCTAAAGATGCTGAGTGGGTATATTCACAGTGTAATGCAGTAGTCCAACACACTTTCCACAGAAAGATCCAAATAAATAGAAACATTCAGGAGCTGGAGTAAGTTAACATGCACTGCACTTAAGTAAAGATGACAGCGAAGAATGAACAGAAAGAACTGAGGGCTTAAATACACACAATAACTGAATAAGAAACAGTAGCACAGCTCTGGTAACATTTACACGACAACGATGTACTAAAAACGGAAATGTTTTTTCTTTGCGTTTTTTTACGTACAGAGGGACCATCGTCAAAACGATCCCCGTTCACACGGATCCGCGAAAACGAATAAAAATGCTGTATTATTCATGCCAGGCCAGTAGTTGGCGATGCCGCTTTGTAAAGAAACACCACGCTCTTAGACTGGTACACGTAATATGCATGCGCATGATGGCACCGTTTTCTCGAATTTACGTTTTTGTAGTTTACACCGAGACAATAACGGTATTGTTTTTACAAACTTGCACTTTGAAATACATTTTCAAAAGTTTGCATTTTCAGGCCCCCAAAATGCTGTTGTCGTGTAAATAAACGGCCAAAATGCATACAAATGTAAAAATTTTAGTTGAAAAAAAAAAAAAACCTACGTCCTATGCCCTAAAAATTTTTTTCAACTGTACTATTTCATACTTTTGTGTGTGTATCAGAATAGCAGGCAAGCGTTTGTTATGGGGACATTAAATTTAACATTTAACCCCTTAACTGTCACCGTCCCGCTACCGGGACGCCTAACTTTACCTCACTATATTTCTATTAAATCCTAATCTAATTATGACAAATTATATATCGTTGGAAAGGTCAAAGACTTCTAAATAGATATTCTACCCCTGTTTTGTGTTACAAATTATGTAGGAAGAGTAATTGATGAATTTATGACAAGAGTGCACCTCAAAAAATCTGCATCATAATAGGAGGTCTGACCTTTGTAACAAAAAGTCGATGCACCCACTTTTAATGATTGAAACTTCTGTTTTTATGCTAAAAGTTCATAATAAAACATATAATCTAGTATTTTTCAATAAAAAATTATAATATAATATTATCCTCTAAAAATGATAATATATATATATATTATCCTCAAAAATATAATATTATCTTTTTTATCGCCTTTTTTATTATATCACAGTTATCATAAATTAGGTATCATTTGAAAGCTTATAAACTCAGAATTCATCCTGTGAAAACCGTTTTATAATTGAACGTTGCGTTACCATAGAAACGGTACTCTAAATTATTTTATCAGGCTCCTCCCCTTTTAGGCATCATTATATTTCATAATTTATGATCAAAACCTTTTCTAATCTTGACAAAACACATATTGTCAGAAAGGTCTGTGTCTCAAGGTTCCAAATTTTGTGACAGAATTGATATTTGGACAGAAATGTATTAATTTGTTAAGGCAGAATGTATACAACTAAATTCAATGGAATTCAATGGCACCCGGTGGCTATTTTTGGTACTACGCCTAAACAAAATCTCATGGGAACTTCAAATTTTGTGATATCAACTTCAAATTTGGAACATAACTTGGTTAGATTTATGGCTTTGATTTTATAGTAATTTTAGACTAAAAAATATTTTGTAAAATATATATTATATAAAATAAAAAATATATAGTACAGTATATTTGATTTACTGTAAATTTAAACTTCCATAACTTTTTCATACTTTAATTTTTTGAAGTGTTCTAACGTCAGCAATAATCTGCTGAGTGTTTTCTTTAAAACAAGACCAAACTTGGGTATATATTCCAAAGCATTCTTGAATTACAACCATTTAAGTTTGAATAGTGCATTTTAACCCCCATTCTCAAAAGGGGGGGTGACAGCTAAGGGGTTAATTTAATATTCAACAATAATATTGATCTGCTTGCATTGACACTATTATACAAGAACTGAACTGAGCTGGACGATGACATCCCGGTTTACTCCAGAGTGGCCATATATATATATAAATGAACTAAATTAATAACTTTTTTTAAAAACAAAAATTAAACATCACTGAACTTACTTAAGCTGGACTGTGACGCTATTTTCTTCTGGAAACAAACTTTTTGGTATTATTTTCCTGTTATCTCCTGTTATCAGTAAAGCTGCTTTGAAACAATCTGTATTGTAAAAAACGTTGTATAAATAAATGTGACTTGACTTGACTTATACTTAGTTACGTGCATCCTGTCACCATTTAAACTACCATGTCAATCATCTTGTCACAGTTAAAATCCTCCACATTCACTTTAATTTAAAGGTGCATTCACGCCATGTCATAATTACTGTAATTATTGACTGAACAGATTTCAACTTGTTAAAAGCGTTCATGTCGTAATTACAACTTGCAAACTGGGAATTTTCTGAGAGCTCTTACTTGTACCACCTGACCACTGTTGCCATTAAAACACATAATTCCAGCTCAGAGTAGAACGTCATTTATTGTGATCTCGAAATTGCAGTAATTACGACATGGCATGAACACAGCATAGAGGTGCATTCACACCATGTTGAAATTACTGTAATTACGAGATTTGTTGCAGAATATACAGATGAAATATGATGTGGATAATCCACACGTGTGGATTCCACGTGTAGGCCTACCAGATGTGGGCCGGATCTGGGCAGACACTATGTTGCTGTCTGGGACTGAATAAAAATACCTTTTCGTCAGGTTAGACACTGATTATTGATCACTCAAACCACTTTTTCCTTTGGAATGTTCATTACCAACATATGCTGATTTGGGACACAATTACTATTTGGGATGGATTTACTAATTTGGATGCAGAATTAGGTGATCGGAACAGGAAAAGGGAACAGGAAAACAATGACAAACTAAAAGTCAATGAAAATGAAACTACACTTGACATTTACACAATCACAAAAACATATTGCATTCTCTCGCAAAAGGTTCGGTCACAAAGAACTCGAAAGTTTTGCAGGCGAACGGGGGAATGCAAACATTTTTGCAAGGGAACGCAAAGTTTCTCGGAGGAACGCAAAAGATTTGCGAGAGAATGCGAAAAGCATTGACATACCTGTGTCTCATTGCGAAGGCTGCGTCCTGCGGAGGTCGCATTTGTTGGCCACATGCGTGCATCATTGAGGCTGCTTCATTTCAGTTAACTGACCACTAGGCCTACATTCCAAACTCAGAAACAAATTACAACAATTTAACAATTTTGGTTTATGGTTACTTTTCTGAAATATAGTAGGGAGGTTAAGCCCAAAAAATAGGCCTTTGACTTCAAGTCATGATGCAAAGGTCTCCTTTGGTATGGAAGTACCTTAGGGTCATACAAATAAATTTATCCTAAGACACAAGTGAGATCACACTTTGTATCAGAAATAAACATGTTTTTTCAAAAATGGCCGCCAATGCGCCGAAAATACTCTAGAGCCCATATCTTTGCTTCTGTTATCGCTATAATGACAAATTTGGTGTCAAAGTGTACATTCTTGGGGTCAAGGAATCCAATAAAATTGGTTTCAAGTTTAAAAAAATAATAATTTTCCCCATACCATGACAATTGGGGGTAAATATGCACATTTCACATAAAAATTGTCATCAGAGTGACTTTACTTATCTTTTCGTTCAAAAACTTTAATTTTGTATTTAAGCAGTGCAGCTACTTCTGTACATTACATTTGTCCTAAGTAGCATGAGATTTCGACCAGTCAGGAGTAGCCTATAGCATATCAGTTCCTGCAACAACACATCCCATCTGCACCAGGAGCTGTAACAGCTGTTGAAGGTCAGAGGTGACAGGTTAACACTTTGAGGTTCGTATGACTTTCTCATTAAATATATATTTTTTTTTAA